ATGTGTGTGTGTGTATGTGTGTGTGTGTGTGTGTGTGTGTGTGAGAGAGAGAGAGAGAGAGAGAGAGAGAGAGAGAGAGAGAGAGAGAGAGAGAGAGAACAACTTGTCTCTGTCTATCCTTTCCACCATATTGGTTCAGGACTGAGCTCAGGTCTTCAGGGTTGGGCTCATGTGCCCTTTCTTGCTGTGCCATCTCACCAACATTTAAATTCTTCTTCTTCTTTTTAAACTCATCTGTTTTTGATGGAATAATTTCTGTTTGACGGAATGGTGTTTCTTCCTTCTTCCATCTGCTGTCGGGTTTGTTGGGTAGTTAAATTCCAGCTGTTGTACATCTCAGTTTTAGAACTTCCTTTGTTTGATTAATTCCACGTCCCTCCTGGAAGTCCCTACCTATTCACTCACGAAGATAATGTTTTTCTTTGATCTTTGGGCTTAGAACAGCTGCTGTGGTCACTGCCCGTCTCTGTAATGAGATCATCCTGGATTCTTTCTGCTGGTTGCTTTTACTTACGAATGTGACTTATATCACAAAATCCTTATATCTGGTTATTTATGAAATACGTTTGGAGACTCTGGGTTCTATTATCTTCTTGTGACTACGGGTTTTGTTCAGGCAGACAGCCAGCTAGTTGATCATTTTGAGCTTGTGTAGGTCTGGTTTTAAGCTCTGTGGGAGTACAAATGTGGAAATCCTCCCAGCCTCCACTCAAAATCCCACCTTTCCTGATGGTACTTGTGGCTCACTGCTAAATACATCAAAAGGAGGACCAGCTGTGGTCCCTGCGAATCTATATTGACTTTACCTGCTTTCCAAGGGTGTGGCTGGTCAACCTGCCTTCCCCCAGGACACGGATGGATGAGGACACTCACTATATTCAGCCTTCTAGATCACAGGAGAAGAATAATCTCTGTGGTTGTAGGAGGACTGTCATCCCACTGGGCAGGACTGTTGTCCGACAGGGAAGTTATCTGAACTCCGGGACTTCTAGAAGCCCATGTAAGGAAATCAGAAATTCATGGGGCATTGACAAATCCACACAATACCAGGAGAGGATGGCTTGGGAGCCTAATGTAGCAGCAGCTAGAGAGCTGCATTAGTCATGGAGTTGAGCAAGCAAGAGCAAGGACAACAGCAAAGCCGACCTGGGAGGCCAGAGGAAGCAAACAAGGAAGACCAGATGCATTCTGGGTGTTCTGGGACATTGGACTGGGTATAAAAGTCACCCTAGGCAGGAGCTCCAGACATATTCGCCCTCCTCCAGACCAGCCAGTCTCTACCATGTGCCACACCAGCTGCTCCTCAGGCTGCCAGCCTGCCTGCTGTGTGTCCAGCCCCTGCCAGCCTGCCTGCTGTGTGTCCAGCCCCTGCCAGCCCTCCTGCTATGTGTCCAGCCCCTGCCAGCCCTCCTGCTGCGTGTCCAGCCCCTGCCAGTCATCCTGCTGCAGGCCTGCTATCTGCATTCCTGTGAGATACCAGGCGGCCTGCTGTGTGCCCATGAGCTGCAGACCCACTGTGTGCATGACTCCCTCCTGCCAGTCCTCTGTGTGTGTGCCTATGAACTGCCGGCCTGTCTGTGTGACCTCCTCCTGCCAGTCATCCGGGTGCTGCCAGCCCTCCTGCCCCACCCTGGTCTGCAGACCCTCCTGCTGCTGACCAGTGTCTCCAAACCAGGTTCTGCCAGTGCAAATGGGACACATTTCCCTCCCTCTGTGGCGGTGGCTCTGCACCTGAAATAGGTTGGAAGCACACATAACTCGCCCTGGAACTTGGGAGAGAACACAGAAGAATGACAGAGATACCTTTTCCCCTGCCGTTCTCTACGGATGTCCTGGCTCCAGGATCCTTCTTTTACTTATGTGCCAAATAAAGTAACCTCACTAGTCATCTGTGCATTTCTGTCCTGGTTCTTGTCTGTCTTTCGTGGCTTCGTTGGCACCAGGAAGCATGGAAGACCAGGGGTTTCTATCATGCAGCCTCCCCGCGATTCCTTAGAAGGAATCGTGCAGGGTGGAGACATGGTTGATGAGCGGGTGGATTTGTGTGTCTGGCATCCCTGTGGTTCCTGTGATGTACCTCACTGCAGAGTCTGCTCATGTTTGCATTTCCCATGGCATCTGTAGCGGGGGCTCGTGCATGGCGAGGCCTACAGTGTTTATGAATGGTTTTCTGTTTCCTCTGGGGAATGTTCTGTGTCCCAGGTCACAGTGACTTTCTTCCTACCGGGCAGCTTTGAGGTGTTTGACTTTCATGTATACAAACTGTTGTGCTCCGAATCACTTTCTCAGTACTGGAGAAATTTATGCCCATAAATTGATTATTGTTGATTATGTTGATATGACAGTCACACGTCTAGTTACTTTCCTGTGAAGCAGCTAGAACACACTTGTCCCACTAACTTCTCGGGGTGGCCCCTGCTGGAACCACTGTATCTTTTCATGTCGTGGTGTGGGTCACTACTGCGTGTTCTAACGCGTGCTTTCTTTTTCAGATTGTTTTCAATGATCGTGTTGGTTTCTCTGTTTCTCTTCCTGGGACAAAATATCCAGTGAAAGTAACCCGAAGGAAGGATTAATGTTGGCTTATGGTTTGAGGGTGCAGTCCTTCATGATGGGACAGTCATGGTGACAAGGGGCTGAGGTGGTTGATGACATTGCATCCGCAGTCAGGAAGCCGAGAGTGAGGCACGCAGGCTCGGTTCACTTCCTCCTTTTTCTTTGTTCTGGAATCCTGGCCCATAGAATAGTGCTTGTGCTGCCGACCCTTAGGGGAGCCTTTGTGGAAATATAATCATCAGTGTACCCAGAAGCACGTTCCTATGGTGACCTTAAATTCTGTTATGTTAACAATGGGGATGGGCCAGCACAATTATCGCTTTGGGGAAGGTTTTCCTCTGGGGAAGTGTTGATGACTGCTGCCATCGGCTCGTTCTATGCCCCATCTCTGTAGTCTGTAGTGAGTGTTCCTTGTGGAGGTTCCTGAGACAGGCAGGCATGGGGGTCACATCCTCTGCTGCATCCCATGGCATCATCCTGGACCTGTGGTCCTAGAGTTCTCACTCTTGACTGCCTTGACCTTTCTCTTTATTCTCCCTGGGCCATCAGACATCACTTGCAAATGTTTTATCCCTTAGCATCCAAGGTCATCAGGGATCCACTGTACTGTTTAAATAAGAGCTTTCCCCAAGCCTGACGAGCTGCCCCGCACAGACAGCGTACTCCATGCACCTATGGTGCGCTTACACCCCGGTTGCCCTCGGACCCATGCACACACATATAATCTTGCACTCAAACCCTCACGAACATAAAGGATACACATGAAAAAACAATCACACGCCCATGTGTGTATGTTCACTCATACCAATACACTCAGGTACTCATGCTTAAACACACATTCCCATGCCCGTGTATTTTAGTACACACACACATTCCCACTTCTCCACATGTATGCATGCTCTGGCAGACGCACAGCCATGCTGATCTCTGTGCATGCACGGCCTCTCACGCAGGCACTCCTGTGCATCATTCTGGTCTCTCATCTGAGAGGTGGAGGTGAAGAATCTCTCACTGCTACCCAGAGGCACAGGCAGAGGCCCCGCCAGTCCTGCAGTGTTGACTTTTCTCATCACTGCGACACAATAAAGGACAGAATACTTAAAAGGGACAGGATTGACTGGCTCATGTTCTCTTTCTGGAGCCTTTGATGGGTAGGGTCTGGCCAATTTTCCATTGTCCTAGGATGAAGCGGTTGGCTTCCCTTTAATGGCGTTAATCTCTTTAACAAGCACACCCTCCTCAGCCATGGCTTTCTGATTGCTCCCTTTCTGTCTGGGCTGCATGGTTTTCAAATCATCTGCTCTGTTTTTAGTTCTTGATTCTCAGTGTAAAATCTGTCTAAAAGCCCCCAGCAATAACCAAGCCACTGTGCAAATTCTTTGCTATCTTGAAATTTATTGCACATGGTTAATTTAGCCACTACTATAAGCCCAGCCTCACATAGTACTCCTGGGCATAGAAAAATTCTCTTGCAGAATATCCCATGGATGGCCTATTGTCAGTTCCCAACAGCATCCTGAAATTTGATGAGCACATTCTTCTGCCGAATTTCTGTTGGCATTCTGCTCTTGAGTTCTCACCTGGATGCCTCACTAGTTCTTTGAATAGCATTTAAGCTGCAGCATAAACAGCTATAGCATCTAAAGTCCCTAGGTCAAAACTGCTACGCCGTCAGTCCAGACACCAGTCAAAGGCCTAAGCACCACAGAGTCAGGGCTAGTCACAGCAGTATCCTGCATTTTCTGGCTAGTTTTCTGTATCAGTTGTTTTTACGTACCTATGTTGAATAAAGCAGCTTAAAGGGCTGAGGGAGGGTTTTAGCTCTTGGGTTCAGAGAGTTCAGTCTGCCATGGGGGAACACAACAGTCACAATGGGTCACAGGAGAGATGCAAATGCTTGTAACTGAGTGACTTTCTTCTTTGTCCACTTCTATCCTGGCCCACTGGAGGGAGCCACCTCCTTCAAACACAGTCTAGACTCTCAGTTAATTCTCCCTGGAAATACTCATGACATGCTCGAGATGTACCTCTGACTCCTCGGAGATTCTAAACCTATTCCAATTGATAGTGAGGATGGACCTTCTTACTATATACGGTCCCTCCATAGCGTTGGCGGGCCCTCAGGCCTCTCCACGCCCCCTTCTGGGTGCCAGGATCTGGGGGTGGGGTCCGGAGGAGAGTTCAGAACAAGGGAAAGCAGAAAAAGAATGAGAGTCAAGCACTTGGATCACGCAGAGGAGGTCTAGTTTTCTTTAAAACTGCGAGGAAAGACAAGGGAACTAGGAAGCGGGAGTTTGAGCCGTGTCCCAGTACCACAGTGAGCAGCCTGGGAGATGTGACATTTCTCATGCCGGCAGGTCCAGGGTTTGAGAGCCTGAAAAGAAGAGGCCAGCAACAGGCAGATGAGCCAGAAGGGAATGGCTGGTAGGGTGAGGTAGGCGGGAGGGCTGACAACACCCTGGGGACTGGCAGCTTACAGACTCACCACAGGTCAGCTGGCAGGAGGCAGACACAGGGCACAGGGTCCATCTCAACAGAGGCATATTGGCGTGTGTGTGTGTGTGTGTGTGTGTGTGTGTATGTGTCTGTGGCAGCACTTCTCACAGCCTTGGGAGGGCAGCAGGCAGGGATGAGGCAGCACAGAGGAATGGGACAGACAGCAGGTGGCCCGAGGAACAGTTCATATGGCACGGGTGGCTGGGACTGGGGAAGACTTTGGTGGAAAAGGGACCAGGCTTTTGTAGCATATGGTTACATGTAGACATACAGTCCTGGACATACATGTATGATTATGCATACATTTACACTCAGACATACACATGCACAAACTCTGAACCCCATGTGCACGCACACACACACACACACACACACACACATACACACACACACACTGGAAGAGCAAGCTGTCTTCCATGCCTGCTTCTCTCTGCTCTCTGACTACAGCTGAGGCTCATGGGAGGGCTCTCTCCATGTTCAGCCTCCCACATTCTGCAAGCCCTTCCTGACCCTGGGAGAAGTGTGATCTCTGTGGGTGTGTAAGGCCTGACAACCTGCAGGGAGAACATCTGGATGCCTGGATCTCTGTGGGATCTCATGTGAGAAAACCAGGAAGTGAAGGAGCTTAGTAGAATCCAGAAGGCCCCAGGGGAGGATGGGTGGGAGCTCAGGGTCAGCAGGAGCTGGAGCAGGTATAATTAGCCATGAAGCTGAAGACAAACAAACAGGAACATAGATGACAACAAAGCCAGCCTAGGAGGACAAAGGAAGCAAACAAGGAAGAGCAGCTGCATTCTGGGTAGTTGGGGAGAACTGAGCTGGGTATAAAAGCCACCCTGGAAGGGGCTCCAGACATATTCGCCCTCCTCCAGACCAGCCAGCCTCAGCCATGTGCCACACCAGCTGCTCCTCAGGCTGCCAGCCTGCCTGCTGTGTGTCCAGCCCCTGCCAGCCCTCCTGCTGTGTGTCCAGCCCCTGCCAGCCCTCCTGTTGTGTGTCCAGCCCCTGCCAGCCCTCCTGCTTTGTGTCCAGCCCCTGCCAGTCATTCTGCTGCAGGCCTGCTATCTGCATTCCTGTGAGATACCAGGCGGCCTGCTGTGTGCCCGTGAGCTGCAGACCCACTGTGTGCATAGCTCCCTCCTGCCAGTCCTCTGTGTGTGTGCCTGTGAGCTGCCGGCCTGTCTGTGTGACCTCCTCCTGCCAGTCATCCGGGTGCTGCCAGCCCTCCTGCCCCACCCTGGTCTGCAGACCCTCCTGCTGCTGACCAGTGTCTTCAAATCAACTGCTGTCACCATAGACAGGACACATGTATCCCTACCCACCTCCTTCTGTGACTGTGGGTTTGACATGAGGCAAGTGGGGAAGCGTGCCCAGCCTACCCTGAAACTGTGAGATAATTCCCCTGGCCTGCCCTTCTCTGAGAATGTCCTACCTCACATGTCCTTCTCTTAGCCCCTGTGCCAAATAAAGTGGCTTCTCTAGTCAACTCTGTGTCCGTCTTGGTTCCTGTCTGTCTGCATAGCTGCCTTAGCTTCAGAAAGCATGCACTATCAGAGCTCTCTTTGATCCAACCTCACTGCGGCTCTTCATTAGGTAGAATGTAGGACAGAGGACACGGCCTCATAAAGTAGATGTGGTCATGTCCTTGTCCTGTCCGTCTTCTCTTGAACATATGGCCCCTGCCATGGATTCTCCTCTCCTGTGGTGCCACCCTGTCTCCCCCGGTTCTCCTTCCCCAATGCTACAGGCGCGGCATCGGTAGCAGTTGTTACTGCATCTCCCTCTTCTCTTGGGATGTCCTGTGCCACGAGTCACGGTGACTTTCTTCCTGCCTGGCTGCTTTCGAAAGCTGGATCTTGGTTCCGTGATCTGAACTTGTCAACCCCCTGCACTGTGGCCTGCCATAGTTCTTGAATGATGACCAGATACCATAACCACTTCCATCACTTCCGGTATGAACACTGGACACATCGTCCAAGTTCCACTCTTGTCTTGGTGCAGCTGCTCCCAGAGTCGGGCAAACTCTGTCCTGTGTTTTCAGTGAATCGAGTTAGCTGCATTCTGTGCCTCAGACTGGCACTTTTGCCCCACTCATCGTCACGATGCCAACATACTGGGGTCACTCTCTCTTGTGGTCCCCCTCTCTGCAGGGCAAAGCTTTACCCCAGCCTCCTCCAGTCTGCTGTGTGCTCATTCCTCACAGAACAGCAAGTGCGCAGCTCCTCCCTCGGCTCTGCTGAAGTCCTGCATACTGTCCTGAATCAGACTCTGTGGAGTTCTCACTGCTGGCTGGCTTGCTTAATTCATGATTCGTTAAAGTCGTTTTATAACCCAGATACCTACACGGGCAAGGACGCACTGTGTTGGTTAAATGGGGGATCTGAATGAAACTAAATCAGAAGTAGAATCAGTCATGATGGGATAATAGCCCTGGACATACACAGCCCACTTCATGTGTACACACGGGCCAGTGCACACATATGCACTCTTATACACACTCCCTCATGCACTCACATTCACACGGTGACTTGCAACCACGCACAGAGAAGCCTGCTCTTGTATAAAAAAAAATCAGGCATGGTAATCCTACACACATTTCTGTGCCTCCTTCATGTTTAAGTGCACAATACACTACACAGCCACACACACACACACATGCATGCATGCATACATATATGCACACTCCCTCAAACATAGCCACATTTCCTGAAACACCTATGTGTATGCACGTACCTTTGTGTGCCATACACTCACACATGCATGGATTCTGGTGTCTCTCACTGGAAGGTGAGAGTCGATTGAGAGGCTGAGAAACAAAGGGACTCTCTGATGGTTAATATTGATTATCGACTTGGCTGGATCTATAATCTCTAAGAGATATCGCTGGGTGTGCCTGTGAGCAATTATCTAGATTAGGGTAGTGGAAGTGGGGAGACCCACCCTAAATGTGACTGGCATCCACTATGGGCTGATGTTTTGGACTGAATAAAAAAGGGAGAGCGAGCTAAGCACAGGCTCTGTCTGCTGAGCACAGGTGCTGAGCCCAGGTGATCCCTTGAGCACAGGTGTTCCCCTCTGTCTGCTGAGCACGGGCGATCCCCTCTGTCTGCTGAGCACAGGCGTTCTTCTCTCTGGGTGACTGCCATGTGACCAGCTGCCATGACCTCCTTGCCATGATGAACTTTATCCCTTTGAGTCATGGGGTGAAATAAGCCTTTCCTCCATTCGGCTTCTTCCTGAGTATTTTGCCACAGTGACATGACTAATCTGGAGCCGTTTGCTAAGGTGACCCACAGACCTGGCCAGCCCTTGTGTGTTTTCTTTTCTTACCACTGTGGCAGGAGGAACAACTTGACTCATGTTCTCATCCTGAGCCTTTGAAAGGTGGGGTCTGGCCAATTTTTTGTTGTCCCAGTGCCAAATGTCTTCCTTTTAATCGTGTTAATCTCTTTGTCAACCTCACTCTCTCCAGTCACAGCATGGTAGCTGTTCCCTTTCTGACCAGGCTACCCAATTTTCACCTTCTGCTTTACTTCTCTCTCTCTCTCTCTCTCTCTCTCTCTCTCTCTCTCTCCCTCCCTTCCTCCCTCCCTCTCTTCCTTCCTTCTTTTCTTCATCTCTTCTCTTACCTTATCCTACCCTATCTTATTTTATCTTGATTCTCATTATACCTCTGGCTAAAAGCAGCCAGCGATAACCAAGCCACCAACTTTGCTGTCTTAATTTTTTTCTTCCACTGAATTAACCTGTTCATCACTTGAGGCTTATGCTCTGACACAATCAAAGGTACACAAATCCTTTCCCAGAGTAACACACGAATGGCCTCTGGTCCCAGTAGCATCCTTCTCCTATTTGAAAACCTTATGGCCACACCCTCCTGTCTGAATTTCTGTTGGTATTCTGATCTTTCGAGTCTCAACAGGAAATCCCATTGATTTTGTTTCTCGCACCCTCGAGCTTACAAAGCTGAAACTTCTACACATTCTATCCAGAAAGAAACCGAAGGCCCAAGAGCCCTATGGCCAGCATTAGTCACAGTGGAGTCCTGACTTCTCCTCTTAGTTCTCTTTGTATTTGCTTCACTGAAATGCTCAACACAGCCACTTTAAAAGGGGTGGGGGAAGGAGTGTGGCTCCCGGTCTCAAAGGGTTCAGTCTATCATGGGTGGCAGAGTGGTTCATGTCCTGATACACCATGAGACGACAGACTAGGAATGGTGTTGCTGGCTTGGCTTTCTCCATTTCTGTGGGTAGTCAATCCGTCTAGTCCCTTAGTCCCTCAGCCCGTGAGATGGCACCTCCAGAGTCAAGGAGGCCTATCCTCTCAACCAGTCTTCCCCAAAAACACGTGGGCAGATCTTGGCTGTGCTCCATCTCCTAGGAGATGCTGAAAGATTTATCTGTGCATTTTATGTACATGATTGCTCTGCCTTCGTGGCACCAAAGAGAGCATCAGATCCAATTACAGATGGTTGTGAGCCACCGTGTGGGTGCTGGGAATTGAATTCAAGACCTCTGGAAAAGCAGTCAGTGCTCTTAATCTCTGAGCCATCTCTTCAGCCCCTTCCAGAAGATTCTAAATCCATCATGTGGACAACGAAGACAAACCATCACCCCGACCCTCAGCATGGCCCCAGGCTTCTCCAGCCTCTTTCTATGGAAATGTTCCCCAATGGGCAGGCTCGCAACACGGGGAAAGAAAAATAGGACGAGGGTTGGATACATTTACTCCTTTGGGCGGAAGTCTAACTTCATTCAATGTCAGAAGAGAAGAATGGCAATGAGAATAGGAAAGAGGAGCGTGGGTATGCTCCTGATCCACAGGAGGGAAGTTGGGGGACAGCTGAGTTCCCTCCTGGCCCGACCTGATCATGAGACATAGTTCTCATCTTGGCTTATGATGGTGATAACCCTAGTATTTGAGGGACAGAGAGGAGAGCTCAGCGCTCAGAGGACTGGCAATTCAGATCCTCAGTAGGCCAGTGTGCAGGAGTCAGCAGCAGGGCCTGGGGATCTCCAGACAGTAGCAGTTCCCACAGTGTTAGTGTGGGTTGTGGTTGATGGGGGAGAAGCAGGGAACAGCCTGGAGAGCCATTCATGCGGCACCTGGAGGCTGGGCAGAGGAAGGAAGAGGTCTACCATGAATGGTCACGCATAGAAATACAGTCCTTTATACACATGTATGACTATCTACACATTTACGCTCAGATATACACTCATGCACAAACTCTGTCCCATATGTGTGTTTGAACACATGTGCATGTTCACACTACTTCACATGCAGGCTCTCCACACACACATACACACACAATGCATGCATACACACAATGCACGCATACACACAGTGCACACACACACACACACACACACACACACTGATTCCCAGATGTTCTGTGCCCTTCCTATCTGATGTCTGACATCATCTCTGAGCTACAGCATGCTCTGCCAGGAGGCGCTCCCTGTGTTCAGCCTTTCCTCTTCTGCAAACCCTCCCAACCATAGGAGAAGTGTAGTCTTTGGTTGTGTGAGGACCATTGTTCCATAGAGAGGGGCATCTGATATCCTGGACCTTTGGAGGTATCACAAAAGAACTCATGAATGACAATAGAGCAAGTCTGAAAAGAGGGAAGGCATTGGAAAAGCCCAGGTGTGGAAGGAGCTTGTTGAAGGTATAATTAACTATGAAACTGAGAGCAAAACAAAAACAGAAACACAGACACAACAAAGCCAGCCTGGGAGGACAAAGGAAGCAAACCAGGAAGGGCAGCTGCATTCTGGGTAGCTGGGGAGCACTGGGTGGGGTATAAAAGCCACCCCAGGAAGGAGCTCCAGTCATCCTCACTCTCCTTCAGACCAGCCAGCCTCAGTCATGTGCCACACCAGCTGCTCCTCAGGCTGCCAGCCCTCCTGCTGCGTGTCCAGCCCCTGCCAGCCCTCCTGCTGTGTGTCCAGCCCCTGCCAGTCATCTTGTGTGCCCTTGAGCTGTAGACCTGCTATCTGCATTCCTGTGCGATACCAGGTGGCCTGCTGCGTGCCCGTGAGCTGTAGGCCCACTGTGTGCATGGCTCCCTCCTGCCAGTCCTCTGTGTGTGTGCCTGTGAGCTGCCGGCCTGTCTGTGTGACCTCTTCCTGTCAGTCATCCGGGTGCTGCCAGCCCTCCTGCCCTACCCTGCTCTGCAGACCCGTCACCTGTAGCACGCCCACCTGCTGCTGACTGGAGCCCCAGTGAATATGGGACAACCTGTCTTCTCCTAGTACCTCTTCTCTGCTGCTGGTTCAGCATGTGAGGCAGATTGGAAACACATCCTGCTCACCATTGGGACTCAGGAGGCGAACGCGGAATTATCTGGATTCCCCTCTCCTTGCCTTTTGGAACGGTGCCCTGGCTCCAGGGCCATCTCTAGCTTCTAGTGCCAAATAAACCAGTTTCTCCAGCTCAATTCCGCATGTCTGCCCTGTTCCATGTCTGTCTTTCTTGGCTGCTCCTATACCAGAAAAGATGTAAGGTCAATGCTTTTTATGACCCAGCATCACAGTGACTCCTCGAGGTGTGGGACACAGAAGGAGGACGTGGCCCGATAAAGTGAGTGTGATCAGCTCCCTTCATGTTAAGAGGTCCATGACTTGCTGTGTACTTAAAACGGAAATCTAAGTCCAGTCAAGCTGTCAATGAAGGTTCACACTCAGATGTCAGTCAAAGTCCACTTGACATCCACATGTGTTATTTAATTTTTTTTAAATTTACTTATTTATTTACTTATTTATAAGAATTTCCACTTCCTCCCCTCCTCCTAATACCCTTCCATTCCCCCCACTCCCTCTCCTCCTCCCTCTCCAGTCCCAAGAGCAGTCAGGGTTTCCTGCCCTGTGGGAAGTCCAAGTTCCTCCCCCCTCCCTCCAGGTCCAGGAAGGTGGGCATCCAAACCGACCAGGATCCCAAAAAGCCAATACATGCAGACAAAACAAGACCCAGTACCATTGTCAATGGCTTCTCAGTCAGCCCCCATGTCAGTGACATTCAGAGAATCCGGTTTGATTACATGCTCATTCAGTCCCAGTCCAGCTGGCCTTGTTGAGCTCTCATTCTTGTATCAGTGGGTGAACGCACCCTTCGCGGTCCTGACTTCCTTTTCCATGTTCTCCCTCCTTCTGCTCCTCATTTGGACCTTGGGGGCTCAGTCCAGTGCTCCAATGTGGGTCTCCGTCTCTATCTCCATCGACCGTCGGATGAAGGTTCCCTCTGGTTCTGCCTTCCTTGCTCACGTTCTCCCTCCCTCTGCTTCTCATTTGGACCTAGGGAGTTAAGTCCAGTGTTCCAATAGGTGTCTCTGTCTCTATCTCCATTCATCGCCAGGTGAAGGTTCTATGGTGACATGCAAAATATTCATCAGTATGGTTATGGGCCAAGGCCAGTTCAGGCACCCTCTCCTCTGCTGCCCAGGGAACAATCTGGGGACCTCTCCTTGGGCCCACATGTGTTATTTTAAATCAGAGCCTTGCATCCCGGCTCCCCAAAATTCATGCCCATCTCACGGTGAAGAAAAAAAATCACCCCTTCCATCTGCGGCTCCCTATATATAGTCTTAACAGTTTCCACACAGCTCAAATGTTAAGTGCCTTTAGCAGTTCAAGAGAAACTATTTTTAAAAGTAATTTTTACAGAATCTTTGACAATTTTATATATGCGTTTTGCTCATTTTGCCCTCATTTCCCTCTCCCTTTGTCTGATCCCTTCTTCCTGATGTGTGCCCCTCCTACTCTTTTTAATAACCCCCTGATGTTTAACAAGGTTTGCTGGAGCATGTGCAGGGCTGGGGAGTTATTTACTGTCTTGGGGAACTTACCTGAGTGGCTACCCTACTGAAGAAAATGACCCTATGCTCCCAGCAGCCACTAACTGCTAGTAGCTCCTCAGCAGAGGGAGAGGCCTCTTATACTCCTCCCCAAGCATGCTGGGATAGCGACGACAGCTTTGGTTTGGTCCAGGTAGCCGCTACTTAGCTTCGTGAGTGTAGCAGCCATGTCATGTGTAGAAGACAGTGTTTCACAGAGCTCCTCGCCATCCTGTGACATTCTTTCCGCTCCATCTTGTCTCCAGTGACCTTCCCTGGGCCTTTGAGAAGAGATAATATAGGTGGTCCATCTAGGCGTGAGCAGTCAACAGTCTCTTAATTTCAGTACTTTGACCAGTCTGGATCTTTGTGCTCACGGCTTCCCACTGCAAAGGGAAGCTGCCTCGCTGAGTGAGGCTGTTCTCCGCCTCTGTCTATGGGCATATACATAGAAACGTTTGGAAGGACTCTGACAGCAGGTCCACTGGTTCATTTTGATTTTTCCAGATAGGGTTTCTCTGTGTAGCCCTGGTTGTCCTAGAACTCACTCCGTAGACCAGGCTGGCTTCGAACTCACAGAGATCCACCTGCTTCTGCCTTTGGAGTGCTGGGATTTTAAAGCACATGTCTGTTTAGGAAAGCAATATTAGTAGGTATACAGCCCCGGTCCAGAATGGACAAAGGAGACATAGGAGGGAGACAGCAACCATAGTACAGCAGGGCCGAGAGCAAACCTACAGTGTTGGGGATCTGAGATTAGTCCTGATGTGACCTCACACGGGCTTAGGTTGCCCCATCCACGTGTCCTGGCTTATTGGAGCCCCCATTGACGGACTCCCCTTTTTGTCTCTGTCTTTCCTTGGTAGATGCCTCATGTACTCGGTCCCTCGAATGCCGTTGTGTCTCCGTTGTAGCTTAGGCTTCATCCTCATTATACCACAGAGGCCTCTTTCCGGGATTCCTCGCAGATATTCTAAACCTGTTATACGTTTCCTGGATCTTCAGACTTTTTAAAAAAATGTAGGGACAGGCCTCCATGATCAGAGAGCTCTGACTTACGGCGTGCCTGTGAAACTAACGCCACAAGGAAGACAGTGGGGTGTTGATGCCAGGCTGAACAGTAGCTAGGCCCCCATAGATCATAGCAGCAGTGGCATATGAGGGCATAGTAAATGAAAACACTTCCACATACATCTGAGTATGGATAGGGCACCCCCGTCTAGGTAGGCAAGTTTCATTGTGGGTTATGAGGAGCCGTGGCCATACAAAGATGGTGGCAGTGGGTGGAGAGCACCTTTGACTAAGCCCATGGGAAGCTTCTCAGAGCAGGAAGAGAATAATGCATGTGTGCAGGATATTTCTGTCAGGCAGCTGAGTGCTTTCCTTTGGTCTAGAAGCTTCTCTGAGTCAAGGCCACCAGGAAAAAAGAGGGCCATGGGAAGCATTGCATCATGATTGCAAAGCTAATCAGTCCCAGGTCCCACCAGTCAGCCACAGGACCCTGTGGAGGAAGATGTTCCTAGTTGGCAGATAATACACATGGCCAATGCTAAACTAACCTGCTAAGCTCCGTAGGTGTGTGGGGGCATGCAGAGGGTCTTGTGGACTAAACCATCCATGCAGCAAAGCCCCAGAAGTAAGTGTGGCAAGAGCATGGTCCTGTGAATGAAGGGGTGCATGAAAAGCATCTCCAGCAGGTGCCTGATAGAGTGGAATGAGTGACAGATGGGGACCAAATGCACTTCTGTGTGTTCACTGGATGTGAAGTCATATTGTGGACAGAGATGATGGGAACCTAGAAGTAGAAGAACAGGTAGGTGACATTAGCTTTTCTCTAATGGTGCTAGTCTCTTTAACCACTACGCTCTGCTCACCCACACTTTCAGGTTGCTCTCTTTCGGGCTAGACTGCATGTTTTCCGGATCCTTCCATTCACCCACACTTTCAGGTTGCTCTCTTTCAGGCTAGACTGCATGTTTTCCGGATCCTTCCACTCTACTCTTTGTACCCGATACTCACTGTAAATCTGGCTAAAACCAGCCAGCAAAAAAACATGCAACTGCATGAAGTCTTTGCTGTCACGAATTTCCTTCACCAAATTTGTTTCAACTCATACAATGTTTCCAAGACACGGACAAAATGTCAATCATCGTTTGCCAGAATATCATACAAAGGATGCATAGTCCTGCTTCCAATACAGCCCCTGTTTCCTGCGGAAACGTTATGAGTACACACATTACTGTCTGTGTGTGTTTTTATTGGCATTCTGACCTGAGTCCTAAGAGGGTTGAACATTGTAGGCAGGAAAGGTGTGTTGTTCAGGGTAAGCTTTGCTCACAGAATTCTAAGGCTTCAACAGAATGTCCAAAATCATGACACATTCCTTCCACAGACCAGCTTCAAACACCTAAGCAATAAACAGTCAGGGTTATTTGCAGCAATGTCCTGGTTTTATGACACCAGCTTTTCTGTATTCTGTGTTTTTGCATTGTATTGGTTATTTTTAAATGCACCTGAGAGGAGGGGAGGCTTCTCTTGACTTTCAGATTCTGAATTCAGGGCCTCATTGTGGAGCAGAGCCCTTCATACTGTGATGGACCAGGAAAAAGAAAATTATGAATTCTAGCACTTGCCTGGGTTTTTCCTTTTTCCACATCCATTCTGCCCTGGTCCCTAGCCAATGGAACAGTACCACATTTAAGGAAGGTCTACCCTCTGGAAATGGTCTAGCAGATGTGGCTGGAGATGTGCCCTGGAGTTCTGTACTCTTAGGCAGACCTTCCCACACCAGCCTCAGGTCTCCCTATTCTCTTTCTGCTATTCCGGTGTTCTCCGAGGAGAAAAGGCAGGCTCAGAGTATGGTAGAGGAGGAAGGGAAGATAGAGGAAGCCCTCCCAAGCTCCACAGGATCACAGGATCACAGGAGTGTCTTCCAGGAGGCCCAGAGCTCACCTGGGCTCACAATTACAGCAGCAAGTCCAGAGTTGGAGGGCCTGGAGAGGAGAGACCAGCAGGAGGCTGAGGAGCACCAAAGGAGGAACCAGCGGGAGTGGGCAGGGCAGGAGGGCTAGCAGTACCCTAGGGATTGGCAGTTTACAGGTTAGCTGGCAGGAGACAGACACTGGGCACAGGGTCCATCTCAACGAAGCCACATGGGGGTCTATGTTCTCACAGCCTTGGGACGGCAGTAGGCAGGGATGGGGTAGCACAGAGGAACGGGACAGACAGCAGGTGGCCCGAGGAGCAGTTCATGTGGTACAGGTGGCAGGGATTGGGTAAGTCTTGGATAGAAAAGAGAACAGACTTTGGTGGCGTATGGTCACACAAGGGCATACAGTCCTGAACACACTTGTGTGGTTATGTGTATATTTAGACTCATATA